GGGCTGCTCTATCCCTGGAGGTGTTCAAGGCCAGGTTGGATGAGGCTTTGAACAAGCTGGTGTAGTGGAGGGTGTCCCTGCCCATGGCAGGGGGCTTGAAACTGGATGATCTTGAAGATCCCTTCCAACACAAACCATTCTATGATTTGGATTCTGAAACCAACTGATGCAAAATAAGTGAACAACCTTCATTAAAATAGCAAGCCTTTCTCACACTGTCTTGTTGGATAAGAAAATAAACAAGCTTGACTGAGGGAGTCATTTCAGTGCTATACCTATCAGCAGATCTAACAGTTTCCTCTAATCACAGACATGACTTTCACTGTCAGTACTTGCGCCTCCTAAGACAGTTCAATAGGATCTTATACAGGAAGACTGTTCACAGACTTCCAAATTATTGTACCACTATGGAACCTCTGAAATATTTCTTTACTGAAATAAGGATAAAGTGGATGTGGATACCCTCTTCTTAGAATCACAGAACAGTTTGGGTTGGAAGGGACCAACATAACTGATCTGTTAGCTTCCTGTGGACAATTCAAACCTTGATCATCGTATGGAATCATAGGAAACAAAATGACTTCACGGATTTGCTGGCAAAGATCACTTTTACTTTTTCACTTCACAGTCAGCACAAAAATTCACCTCTGAATAGCTCCTTTTGACTGCTGCTTTTTTCTACTGACTCTTGCACTTAAGTCTATTAGAAACTCTAGACTACCGTGGCTGTGAATGCTGAACAGTCTTTCAAATCGAAGGAGTGAGCTCACGAATCAGTAACTTCTGCAAGGATTCAACGGGCCAGGGACCAAAGGTTATCTACTTACCTCTCATATTCATCTACTGCTTTGGAAAGCTGAACAAAAAAATCATCCAGTCCTGTGCCCAGCACGGCAGAAACACCAACCACCTATAAAAGGAAACCACATACCAGAACTGAAGAGTAACTGAACCAAGTTTTTAGGTAACTAATGGATGATCAGAGCTGGAAAGACTAAGCAGTACCTTTAAAACAAACAAACAAACAAACCAAAGAAAAACTAAACTTAAAAAACCAGGAATCTAATGATACTCATTTAATCATCGCAGTG